ACGTTTATCCACCAAATAAAATAACCACACGATCTGGCAAAATTCTGCATACTTGGCAGCCCTTCCTGCCACGAAGCCTGGAACAGCATCGGACCCAGCAGGTGTGGCTTTCAGAAGGTCCGGAGAGCTGAGTTCGGGAAACGTGCCCAGCAACTGACCAGTGAGCAGAGGGCTTTCCTGAGGCCAGGTTGATATCCCAGCACTTTAGAAGCCAAAAAGCCCCTACTCTCAGATAATGAAAACCAAAGGAACTAAGGAGTTGACATTAGAGACCAAAATTAGGATAAGTTGAATTTCTTCTTAATAAAAGATGCCATGTATTTTAAAAGTTGTTTTAACATTTAGAATATAGATACTCCTTAGCATTTAACACTTGTACACATGAGAAACCTACTCTTCCCCTTTTTAACAGGAGTTTGGTAGCCCCTTCTTTCCTTAAAGGGTAAGACAGAGAGAAGAGCAGAACTCTCAACAGCCCGGCCCCTAAGAAGGAGAGGGAGAGAAAAACTGGTTTCTTCTATTTCTTATTTTTCCATAAGGGGTCCTTTAATTGTAGGACTCAGTTAGTGAGATCAGACTTCCTGGGCCCTATCATCAGAATCGCCTGCTTATACAGAGCAAGGGAAGGAGCGGTGTGACTGGTGGGATGCAAGACCTTCCTGTCCACTATGGAGCATGATCAGCCCAACAGACAGAACATAAAGTGGCAGTGGGCAGGCTGAAAGGCATGACATCATGACACGCCAGTTGGGCCCCAGCAGAGCCTGGTGACAGACCTGGTGTTCAGAAGCAATATGCTATACTTTAGGAGGGGCAACCTATGAAAAGCAAGTCAGAGCACCCTCTCCTAGAGGAACTGGGGGTGCTAGGGAAGCTACTGAGACAGAGAGGCTCAGGCACAGACAGTGAACTTGGCCTCAGTTACCAGAAGCAGATAACCAAGTGGACCTGCATCTTGACAAGTCCAGTGATCAGATGGGGCCCCAGAATAGGGCCATGCTAGCTGTTCAAACAGCTTGAGCCTCTGCATACTGGCCTAAAACAATGATTTTCACATTTAGAACTTTTATTAAATGAAATCTTATATAAAATTTAACACATAAACCCAGGCACAGCACAGCTCATCTGGCTTCGGTAGCACCGAGGGTCTTGCAGCCCCACCCATCTGGCACGCTCTCCCCCACCACAGACACTGCGTGTACCTTGACTTTTCCTTTTATTGGAACTCTTAAATCCCTCCTTTCTGGGCCCAGGATTAGGCGTAGGATTGGAAAGGGTTGAATGGTGAAAGATTGAGGAATGAATGAGAGATATACTATAATTGAAAAAAAATTAAATATATATATTAAGAGAACTTGAGCATAAAAAGGATTGTAAAACAACACAGGATAGCGAAGCCTTATGCCAAAAATAAAACCATTAACACAGGGGAAACTGAAGGGGGGAGGGGAGACTGGACTGGAGAGAGCAGAACACTATGAACAGCTGTGTTGTCCCATTCGGTTTCCCAGGACACTGAAAGGTCACTCGCTAAAGGTCTTGGTTCCAGTAAGAGTGGACTGTGTGAGTGGCCAGGAGCACTTTCCTGTGGCCCCTGGCCCTTGAGCTGCTGGGAAGCAGCATCGCTGTTCACTGTGGCCGAGCTGGAGGCAGACAGATGCGAGGGTCTTCACAGCTTCCGATAGATCTTACACCTGAGTCATCTCTTATTTATGGCCTCCTATGGCATAGGATAGTTGTGGCCAACACCATTCATCAGCCTAATGGGCTCAATTGGAAAGCTCTCAAGTCCCCGGGGACATGCCTTGATCTAAGAAAAGAAGAATTGTTAACTGCGCTTCTTTAACTAGGAATTTATGTCTTCCCATCAATTGACCTTGTGAGGTAATTTGTGGTTCCCAACAGGGAACTGGCCTTAGGCCCCTGCAGCGCCTCAGCCCTCCACACCCCACCCCCACCCAACCAGAGGAGGTCCTCTGCCAGCTCCTGTGAGCTCCAGGCCAGGATCTCTGGGGACCAAAGCATGGCTGTGTGTCTTGGCTTTTTCCTGCCATTTGTTCATTTATTTATTATTTATCGCATCCCTGCTTTTTCCAGGCTGGGTGTTAAGTGCTGCAGATGCAGTGAATAGTCTGTGCTCATGGAGTTACGGCCTACACATCAGGCAGGACACAAGTTCTTTTTTTAATTTTTAAAATTTATTTTCAATTACAGTTTACACCAATATTACTTTGTATTAGTTTCAGGTATACAGCATATATTTCCAGTACCCACGTGGCCCCATACATAGTTATTACGATACTGTTGACGACATTCCCTACACTGTGCTTCCCAATCCCTTCCCCTACTTCACCCAGCCCCTCAACCCCCTCCCCTCTGGCAACCACCAGTCTGCTCTCTGTACCTATGAGTCTGTTTCTGTTTTGTTTGTTCGTTTATATTGTTTTTTAGATCTCACATATAAGTGAAATCATATGGTATATTGTTGGTGGGAATGCAGAGTGGTGCAGCCACTTTGGAAAACACTATGGAGGTTTCTCAAAAAATTAAAAATGGAACTGCTTTATGACCCAGTGATTCCACTTCTGGGTATATTTCCAAAAAAAGCCAAAACACTAATTCGAAAGAATATATGCACCCCTGTAGTCACTGCAGCGTTATTTACAATAGCCGAGCTACCGAAGCAGCCCAAGTGCCCATCAATAGACTCATGGATCAAAAACGGTGGTAGTATATGCAATGGAATATTACTTGGCCATAAAAAGGAATGAAATCTTACCATCTGTGACAGCGTGGGTGGACCTAGAGGGTATTAGGCTAAGTGAAATACGTCAGTCAGAGAAAGACACAGGTGTTTTAAAGGCCACTGTAAAGTGAACTCTGGAGAAGTGCGAGGACTGTGAGTCTCTGTGGGAGGGCTTGGTGGCCTTTGCTGTCCGGTCCCTCCTGTTAATACAGGTCTCAGGGGACGCCAACTGCCAGGGGCCCCCGGAGATTGAGGGGGAAGGGAGGGCTGAGCATCCTCATGGCAAAACCAGGTCACCCTCCCACACAAGCTTGGGTTTGTTTCACAACGTGTAAGTCTCCTTATAGTTTTCTGATGATGAAAGTAAAATACGTATATTATACCAAAAGCTGACATTTCAAAAATGAATGAAGTAAAAGTTCAATATATTCCCATACACTTTTACATCTACCACCATAAATAACCGTAAGCCGTTTGGCATGTGTCCTTCCTGATATGTTTGTTTTTATGTAAAATATGTTTATTTATATGTTGTCCTACATGTTTATATTGTCCTATAGTTAACTTTTTTCCCTTGAAAATTCACCACGGACACTCTTCAGGACAGTGCATGTAGACCCTCCGCATCCTTCCTAGGTGCTCATAGTTCACTGGGAACGTGCCTCATCTCCTCTGTGAATCTCTCTCCCATTAATGAATCTATCTCCCATTACGTTCTGCCATATTTTGTTGTAATAAATCTTTCAGCGATGAATATCTTTATCTCTGTGCCAAATTCTTCTTAGAAAAATATCTCGGGTCTGAAATCATGCATTTTCAATGGGCTTCTATACACAGCGAGGCCGTGCGCGGTCAGTAGACACCATGCTTGGAATTTGGAGTTTTGATCTTTCCCGGGGTAGTGATGCGCCGCACGAGACTCTCCTGATTCTGGGCAGGGAGATGATTTTGCCCAACCGTAGCTGATGCCAGTGTTCTGATCATGGTTAGGGTTGGCTAGGCAAAGCTGTGATGTTTGGTAGCTTAGGTGTATCGCACACAGTTTTGAATATTTTCAAGACATAAGTCGAGAAGCAGTTGTATCTTCCCTTCTGGGAACTGTGCGCCTCTGCTTCCCACGGTGGACTCAGCTGCTTCGGGTATGTTTATTGCTGAATCTGTTTGTTCCAGTTGAGTTTGTTATTGTAAGTGTGTCATGTATTTAATTAATATATAAACCAAAGAAGCATGGAAGGGGAAAGGAAGGGTTATTATAAAAAAAGTTTAATTTCTATTTTTCTCATTCCCAACTTAAACAAAAAATTGGTAAGGACCACCTACCCCCGTCATATCAGATACAGTGGCTTCCGATGACTGATAAACTCCATCAGCCATGTGACCAAGTTTGCAAGTTACACCCTCTTATTTCCCTGGCGGTATTGTCTATGGAGAAAAACCCATAGGTGTTGGTGTGTAAATTGGGTTATCTATTCTCCCCAGAAGTACCTAAGAACCAGTGTCTTATCTAGGGCATCAGTGTCATCTGCCTTGATAGAAGTTGGTGGTTAGCCACTCTTCACCCCAGCAGGCCTTGGTAAGCTCCTGTAATGCTCGCAGATGCCATGTTTAATTACCCTCATGGGCGAGAAATAGAAAATCTGGAAATCATAACTGCTGCCCTTGAAAGTGAGAGAATGCCTGTATACAAACATCCTGTCACTTTCTCACCTAATATAATGTTAGAAGTGATTTTACAGCTCCTTCAAAATGGACAGACGCTTTATGTGTCTATTGGAGGCACTTGATAATTATTTATTGGATGTATGGATACACAGGGAAGACATTTCTATGGGGCAGGCTGTATGGGGATCTCTGATTAAGTTGGAATGAATTAAGAATTAAGTCATACTGAATTCCTTCTACAAATATGTGTTAAGTGTCAACTGTATACCTACCAGTTGGCCGGTAACTGCTGGGGCCACAACAAGCCACAGCGGCTAGAACTGCTCTCCCGATGCTTGTGACAGAGCTAAAGACCTCAGGCATCCGGGAAACGCAGAGATGCAGTTTCCTCACCAGAGCCAGCGCTGTCTGAAATGCTCTGACCAGGTGCGCACCTGCCAGTGGACAGGATGGTGTGGGGGGAAAACTGTTCCCGTGAAATCAAGGAGTTCTCATAGCCTCAGGCTTCCTCAAGTCATTTAAGCGTCAGCTACTTACACTGTGTGGCGTTTGCCGAGGCTACAGAATCTCACTGCTGTGTTTTCTCTTCTAGGATATCAATGAGTGTATTCTCGAAAACTACCCCGAGTGCTCCAACCCCAGGCTGTTTTATATCATCCCCTACTTCTGTGGACAGCACCCCAGATGCAGGTAAAGACTAAGGGCAGAATCTCTCAGCCTCCTGGAATGCAGTTAACATGTACTGAGTCTTTGAAGATCTGAATATCCTGTAAATAAAAAAATTAACAAGTCAAGTTCTGACAGAGGCTATGGGACCACCTCACAAAGCTGTGTCACTGGAGTGCTAACCAAACTTTTTTTTTTGTACCTAACACACAGCTGTTGCTACAGAGCCCGAGATAGTAAGGACCAGGGGTGAGCACCAGCCTGCTCCTGCATGGTGTCTGTACCCCATCAACAGCTGGCCTGGCCTGTGTGGCATGTCTAATCAGGTCTAAACACGGGACGCTCACACCCAAAATCTGATAGTGTCTCTCTCATGAGACAGCCTTAGTGGAAAGGAAAGTACTTTCTAGCGATTGCCTTCTTTAGAGAGTGACTTACTCAGATGGTCAGGGCCCACTTCCTGCAGCAGCATCCCTGGGTACTTGCTAGGAGCCCCCTAATCACGGCCTCTGGGGGCCGGGGCAGGCCTTTGTAACCATCTCCAAGGCGATTCTGGTCTAGCTACAGTTGAAATCCGTTGTGCTGGACCAGTGTGTAGCCTGGAGAAGAAATGGCAAGAACAGTGACGATACCAACCTTGCTTCATGGAGAATAAACCCTGTTGCCAGGAGCGACATCTTTCCCCGGAGAAACATTCATTAGAAGGCCACCGTGTTCCTGAAGAGACGGGGGAAGAGTCGTTTCCAAGTCGCAGCTCATTCTCTGTACTTTTTGCCAACGGCGGGATTACTGCTTAATTGTTAAGTGTGTTGCTGTTGTGTTGAGTTTATCATACACCAGAGTTTGTCCGTTCCAGGACCAGAAGTGTCAGTTTTCTGCTTCATCCTAAACTTCCCAAGTCAGGAGGCCTCCCTGCCACCCTCACCCCTGTCATAAAGGCCACCTGGTTCGAGGTCAGTGCTTCAGACACTGGGACAGTGTGGGGCCAGGTGACTCACTTTCTGTCACAATGACGATATTTATTCCAGGAAACATGATTCTGACTCCCTCAAGTATCCTTTTAATGATCTGTTTCTTGGAGAGAGTACTCACGGTGTCTTATCTTGGGTCAGACTCGATGATTTTCAAAAAGTTTTCGAAATGTCACTTCGTTACACCTGGCAACAATTATTTGAGCTAGGTAAGGACTTTTATTACAGTTTTTCAAAAGAATCCTGGCTTGTCCCGTTCCCCCAGACGGTTAGTGCCAGCCAGGCCTGGAGCCCAGCTCCCAGGATCCCTGTTTTTCTCACATGCATGTTGTCTGCTCGGAGATCTGCTCTACAAATGAGATTAGTAGGCTGTTGTCCTTCTAGAATTAAAAAAAAAAAAAAGTCTTTAAACTCTGTAAAAGAAAGATGATTCACAGGCATGACCTGACCCCTATTCTGAGTCCTACAGAAATTCTGTCAGTAAGTTTCACATTTCAAAACTTCTGTCTTTATTTCATTGGTTCTGTTTGGTCCCCTTATTAAAAAGCCATTCTAATCACCCCTTGGTTAGTGTTTGTTAGGGCCAGGATCTAATTGCCTGTTCCTGAGTCCTTCCAACAAGTAGTTAGGCCCTGAGCTGGGCGTTACACCAGGTGAAAGGGCTGGCGGTGAGAAGGTGGGGGGGGGGGGCAGGGGCAAGGGC